ATCCATCCATCCATCCATCCATCCATCCATTCATCCATCCATCCATCCATCCATCCACCCATCCATCCACCCATTCATCCATCCATCCATCCATCCATCCATCCATTCATCCATCCATCCATCCATCCATCCATCCACCCATTCATTCGTCCATCCAACCATCCATCCACCCATCCATTCATTCATCCATCCATCCACACACCCATCCACCCATCCATCCATCCATCCATCCATCCACGCACCCATCCTTCCATCCTTCCATCCTTCCATCCTTCCATCCTTCCATCCTTCCATCCATCCATCCATCTATTCTTCTTCTTCATTTCAGTAATGTCAGTTTTCAATGATGGTAAAAAGAGAGTCTTATTTAGCTTATTTAGTCACTCAGCAGCTTTATGCTTTCCTTTTATAGCATTATACCCCTTCTATATATAATCACCTTTACCACGTACTGACTAAAAGAGTTGCACTTGTTGTTTGACGTTAACGAAGCTCTCTTGTTATATTAACCTACATGGCGGCTGTTTTATTGTTATTTAAATCTCAAAGGATTTTGAGTCATGTGGTTGGACATAATACCCTTCATTATATAGACCTTATTGGTTTACAAAAAATATACGCCACTATTTTCATACAAAATACATCCGGGACCTCATTGACATATTTTCCATATCCTGTCTAGTAAAAATATCGAAGACGTCTTTTCCAATGTTGTTGTTTCTGAATGTGTCTATATAAGAAAAAGAAAATTACACGCTGTGCTCACTTGGGAAATATTTTCACCAATCGAAGATAAAGTTATATAATATATTATATACTTAATATCTACGCGCCACCGTGAAATATCCTCTATATGTACACTTCATAATGATATACCCAGGGGGTGTACTCGGGTGGGTAACATGTACCCACCCGAGTACACCCCCTGGGATGATATATCTAGTACAACAAACAAGATAATTACGTTCTGGCTAAAGCAATATATAATTGATGTGTATGCGCAGCACTAAGTGTAACGTTAATGGAAGTTTATTGCTCTAGGACTCATGTTGTGCAGTTTTAATTGTTATATTCCGAATCGTAATTAACTTTTCCTCCAACAGCGAGGATTACAACTTCACTCCAATTGCTTCCACGATTATTTCTTTGGTACATAATTGAAAATAACGAAAATAGGAAAGGTTTTGGAGYGTAAACAAAGATCCAATGTCTTAAAAAGAAAATATCCCAATTTATGTACAATGGTTTGAAATAAGAGGGGTTTGTGCTTGAGATCCTAAGGTCATGTAGACTTTTTACGATCACAATAGAAAGTTAGTAAAATGAATGAATTACTACTTGGAGCTCAGAGATTACTTATTTCGTTGTCGCACGCTTCTTGTTGCATAAGGTCAATTATAAAGTCATTCATTTTTGGGTTCAAAACATAAAACATAGGAGTTGAGACTGAAAGATATTTYGTTAAATGAAAAATTTAATATATCCGCTAACTCATTTATTTGAGGTACACAGTCAACATGAAACATTTGTGTTGCAAGCCTCCAATTCATACTCTCTGTCAGTAGAACAATTTATTCGATATTCCATGAATTGTATCAATATTTTTTTCAAAACATCACTCGTACCCATAAATTCCGAATAGATGTTTTCTCAAGGCTGTGTGCGCATCCAACTTGACGGGCCATAATATATCAAAAATGATAAATGAAAATTCAGTAAAATTGAGAAACCAGTTTTATATTTAAAGAGGAGAATAATCAATATTATTAATTCTTATCGAAAAACAATCAATAGAATTGTAAGATAATTCTGTTATCGTGGCCCGTCAAGTTCCCTATTAAATTTGGATGCGCACGCAATCTTGAGAAAAGGTCTATTGTACTCGAGATCGTGCGATTTTAGTCGAGTTTACATACTAGATAAATTAGATAAATGAGGTTATTTAAAAACCTTGTAAAACTTCTAATAATTTAGGAGTTTAATATTACAGCTTTCTACTGATTACTCTAAGTACAATTTGCTGAATTATCAAAGTCTTTTAATATTATAATATTAACCTACTAATCCTGTAAATGAAATAAGCCTTACTATTTGCAAGGATAGTCATTCAATCAGCTGTCTGAGAATATGGACGATTTTTTGCACGTCCATTCTTTCGCGTGTACAAAATAATAAATAATAATATTTAGTAAATAAATGATAATAATAGTAATACGATATAATATTTTATGTTTAAAAGTTGCAGCCGCTATATTTTACTCATTTAGCGTTTTTTTTTTTTTTTTTTTTTTTTTTTTTTTTTGAAAAAAATATTTTTTTTTTTTTGCGAAAGAGAAATGAAAAAGCCTGTAATTCGAGCTCTTAATCCGGAATTGCTTTTGAGCTCGAGACACAATACCACAATATCAAGACAAGTTTTACTTTCGCCTGCGTTAATTAATGTCCACTTTTCTGCATCAAATCGGTCTGTGCTGTTTTGCTTTTCTTTGACAAATACGCGAGGAAGGAAGCTACTGAATCTTAATTACTGTTAAAATTTAATAAAATTAAAACGTTTGGTAAAAGGCACAACTTTTTTTGATATTCATGACGACGTTGTTTTGACTGTTTCACATGACAGCCTCAAAAAATTGAAAAAAAAAAAGATTATATTAATATAAATGAGATCACGTTAGCTCACGTTAGTTAGTTAATATTGATGATAGCATCTTCAGCAGTTGCGTATAGTGAATTTAAGAAATATTTTTCAAAATGAACAAAAATTTACATTCATAGAATGTATTTTTTATTAAACTTTAGAATTAGAAAATATCAGTCCAAATATTTAGATAGAGCAAACAGCCATGCTTGTTGATCATTCACATCAATAGGTTTTAGCGGCAATTCACAAGCTGAAATAAAGAGATCTTCTTAAAAATAGAAGAAAAAAACTATTTAATTTAAATTGATGCTTTAAATATGCCCGAATTGTCTTCCGAATTGCCCTAAAGCCATTTTACAGCGTCACATTTCATGTGCATAAGAGGAAATTTTATTCAATAACGAGCAATAATGGC